CATAGAATTTATAGTTACATCTAGCAATTTCAACTGTCAGATGATGTGTGTTTGCTGCCAATCTAGTAGAGCACTTAAATTCATAGAGTCTACATACCATAGAGGAAAGTACATCAGACCAATTACTATGAAAATATTTATAGAAAAGGCACAGGGAAGCTACACTACAATGGTTGGGAAGTGACTGAAGCCAAAATGCCAGATCAAGATAAGTAACATTGCAGATTTTTCTTTTTATTTTATCAGGAATCTCTAAATATATAAGAGGAGCACCAGGCCAGATGTGACAGCAATATTCAAAGCAAGGACAAATGATCAACTTATAAATGTGTAAGATAGATTCTGGCAAGAAAAATTGTCTGGCATGACACAAGGAACCAACTTCCCTAGCTGCAGATTTGACAATTGATTTAATATAATCTTTTAATTTTCCACTTCATGTCAGCAGAAAAATTTATCCAAGAAGGTGCAATGAGTCACTCTCCTGAAGATTAGCATCAGCCATACTGACGGAAGGTAAAAAGGGTTCTCTCAGATGTATGTGTGTTTGTATATATATATATATATATATGATTAGAAAAAATATATATCCAGGTATGAGATAAGATTAAATAGAGTATAATTCCAATGTCTGTAGCATTTAATTTTTAAAAAGAGCTCAATACAGAGTAGTGCTTAATATTATTTACTATAGTAGATTAAAACAAAAACATGTTGAAAATCACTAAACAATAGTTATTATGTTTCAGCACCAAGTTCTGATAAAAAAACTGGTTTAAATAACTTCTTTAAAAAAAAGCTAGAACTTGTAAATCCTTAAATGAACCTTGCTTCTTATGCTTACATGAGAAATTGGAAATTAGATTTGCTGATAAAAATTCTCTATTAAACCAGAGAAGCGAATTAACTGTAAATTGTAGGCATAGTTTACTTTTCACCTTACAATATGGTTAAACTTTGAACTTGGTAGTACTATTTCATATGGTCATAATTAGTAAGTAAATTGCGGTGGACGTTCTATGAATGATTATTTTATTTTGTTTATTTTGATTTAATATAGTTATGTATTGCTGTTTAGTTAGCATTATTAACATGAAATTGCCACACTTTTTAAACACTTAAGTTGTATTCACTGGTTTCTTACAGGAGCCTTTTAATTATCAGCTACAAAATTTGTTACAATTAAGCTATATGTTTATCTTCCTACACCTCTACTTAGCTTCTTATAAAAAAATTGAACAAGTTGTATTGTTCATAATTATGATACAAGGTTGCCACTCGCTTTGTATCAATTTCTTGACTAGCACTTATGACCTTGTCCAGGATTCTATTTCAGATCATATTTTACCATGATCAAAATTCTCCTTTTTTCTAGGTTAATTGTGAATTTAACATAGGTCTGACAGCTATTTGGTTAATCAGGTAAACCCACAAGTGTCGTTTTAATTCTGATTTCTTGTTATTCTCATCTTCTCTTTCAAAAAAAAGTGGGGGTATTCTGCTTTTGAAATTAAAAATAATCATTTACTCACCAGCTGTTTACCAAGAAGAAGCACACCTTGGTGCTGAAACATAAAAGCTATTATGTAGTGATTTTCAACATTTTGTTTTAATCTGCTATAATAAATAATACAGTGAAACAGTCTGTCTGTGGATGACTATATACAGACACACACATACATCACAAAACAATCAAACAAAGCCTGCCTGGTGACCAAAGAAAAAATTAATATGAAGAAAAAACAGCAACCAATAAAACAAACCCAAGAGAAAAACCAATAGAAGAGAAATGAGAAAAGAAAACACCTTAAGAAGACCAAACAACAGAAACCTACATAAACAGCAATAAATTGCAATAAATAGTAATAAACAGTGCTTTATATCTAAATCACCAAGACAGCTATTGTTTCCCAGTGTCAAGATTCAGAAAGAGACAAAGTTTGGGCCACTACTTGAGTTTCATGCTCCTGCAATTGTCAGTTATATATATTATATATATGTTATACTCTGCTACAATTAGATCTCCTTTTGATTCACTTTACATATCAGCTGGATGTAAATGCTATGAAAGCAAGACACAAAATAAAGAAGTTGTTTTCTGTGCATAGGTTCTGAGTATCACATCTCGTCAATAGAACAAATCCCCAATAAAAATGAATGCAATAGCCAATCACAAATGTTCCCATTGAAAAAAAAAACCCAAAAAACAGGAACCCTGGGAACTGCCAGATTTGCTTAAAAGAAAGGCCCTCATAATGACTGACACAGTTGCAGGCTGAAAGACTATTTGTCATCATCACTACCATGATCACCCTTTGCCATCACCATCTCTCAACATCTTCAGTATCCAGTTCCATGCTTCCTTCATCATCACTACTCTAACCCCATCTTGCTGATACCATATTCAGCCAGAATCCAACAGAGACATTCTACTCAATCAAATGTAACTATCTACTCCAAGCCTGATGGAGTTTGGTAGGTTTCTGTGTATTTTTAAATGGTTACTAATTGAACTATAGCCAGAGAGATGTAATGTGAGTCTTCTTGTTAGGCATGTAGTGGTATGTGCAATATAATTATTCATTATTATTAAGCATTATATATATATATATATATATATATAAAACAGTGTGCAGCAAAAATAATGCCAATTTTTTATTTATTAACTTTTATTAAACAAAAATAAATTAGAGTAGTTTAAGAAAATTTAAAAGTATTGTCACATCAAAACAACACGATTTGTTATGATTGACAAACTATTTAATATGTTCAAAAACTTCCCTTTCATGTTCAGTACAATACTGAATCCTATCAATAACACTTCTACCAAGCATTTGACACATATTTCTACATTAATTTCAGAAAATCTATCAGAAATTGATTGTTTTGATTCAGGAATGGATTTCAGTTTGAACCTATGAACAAGATCTGTCAGTACACCCCACAAGAAAAGTCTAGTGGTGTTAGGTCTGGTCATTGTGATGACCACTCAATTGTTCCACATTGTCCTATCCATCTCAGAATCTTTTGTTCAATAAAAGTTAATAAATAGCTTGAAAAGTTGTATAAGAACTTAACATCAACCATTTATTAGTTGTTCAACATTTGCCACAAATTTTAAAAGACAAATTGCTAAAAAGCACAGGTGCAGAACAGGGAGAAAAAAAAATACCATTATAAAGCCTCCTCTGCACTTTTTAGGAAAAAAACTTCCATTTTTCTTGCTCATACTAACACACACACACACACACACACACACACACACACACACACACACACACACACACACACACATACATATATATTATTTTAAATGCTATTTCTAGTGGATACCTGCATCTGAGCTTACACTCTATTCATTTCAAACAGTACTTACTCCACCAACACACACACACACACACACACACACACACCTGAGAAAACACTCTCACCAGCAAGATCATAAGTTTATTCAAATTTTCTTGATTTATTGTTCATTGAGATTTTTATAGAATTATGAATAAAAAACTTGTTTTCATAGTTATTTATAAAATGGCAAATAATAAATACTGCATTGTAGTTGGTTCACATATTTTGATAATTTTGTCATTTTTTATAAATTTGTGAATGAAAAGAATTCTTTTCAAATTTATTTCTTTATAAAATGGTAAATAATAAATCTTTGTAAAAGGTAAATAATAAATATTGCATTGTATTTGGCTCTGATATTTTTATAATCTTGTAAATAAAGATTGCTGAGAGAGTCAAAAGTATATACAGCAATAACAGTGTCAAGAGAATAACTATCTTTTTGACACACCATTTTTTTTCAGGCACAAAGGTCAAAATGACATTATATTTAAGCACAAGTCACCAGTGTACTGGTTGTAATCTCTTTGTCTCAACCTGTCAAGTCTGCACATTTTGCCATTTTCCTATTATCAGTGGTCTTTAAAAGCAAATAAAGATATCAAAGTAGAAATAGCAAACTTAAACAATGACAAATGACTGATGCTTGTGCTGTTGCTCAAAGTTAGATGTGGTTTGCACACCACTGCAATGACACTTTTCATCACAGTTACACAATCTAGAGACAGACTGAAGTAAGATATTTGGTTAAGTTATGATCACAGGTTTTACATCAAAGTGACTTTCTTCTAGGGACATAGCTACACTGAGCCTAAGGATTGTTTCCCTCTGAAATGTTTTTAGATTACCTCATTTAAAAAAGTACTACAGCTACTTTGCAATACAAGAGTACCTGCAGCATTGTCAAGTGGTAAGTGACTAAACCAGTTATTCCATTAGGCTTATGTAGTGAAAAAAGTCACTTGACATCATGTAGAAAATAAAATTTGGGACTTCTGTCTGGATTTGCCTAAAAATTGAAAGCCGTATGCCTTTTTCAAAACTAATTTACTAGCTCACTTTGGGCCACAGGGAGTTTCATTTCCTGAAGGGTTCTACCATATATATATATATATATATATATATATATATATATATATATATATATATACATACTTTATTTATCATTTTTCAAAAAATATTTTTATAATTCATTGATGAGTATTTTTGTAAAAATTGAAATCACTCTCTCATTGACATTTCTGATCGATAAGAAATTATAATCAATTGTTCCTCATATTAAGTATAGTTGCTAATTAGCTAATTAATAGATATTACTAACAAGTCCATTCCTAAAAAAATTCTCAACAATTGTAGTTTAGCAGTCATTTAAGACTTTATATGCCTTCAGTCAGAGACACAAGCTGCTTTATTCTAAATTTGCAACTAGAAAAAAATTCCTTAAGAGGCGAAATATGAACAAAGGGAAGTAACTCTAAATTTATTATGAGATTGCCGTCAGAGGGCAGGTTCAGTGATAAAAACGGTGTCAATTTCCCCAAAATCATGGAGTCGGAATTTAACTGGATACTTTAAAAAAAAAAGATTATTTTTTTTTTTAATTTATTTACGATTACATAAATATTTTGTCATATTATGGAGTGATAAGCATCATGTACATCTCGGAGATTTTTATTACTACAACGCAAGGGGATGTTCTTATCGACAAACAATGTATCTTTTTGTTTTCCATCGTAGACTTGTGAGATTGTATGATAATTGTATGTGAAAATTCAGAAATCCAGAATAATTAGAATCCCATCTCCTTAATTTGATTTTGTTAAAAATAAACAAATGCATCAAAGGGTAAGAAGCTATACAGCTATTATATTTCTACGATAAGTAAAGCAATTGTTTATTTAGGGAATTCAATTTTATTTACCTTGCTAGTATGAAGTTTTTCTTTTTTTTTTCTCGTTATTGTTTTGTGAAATTTTCTCTTTGCATTTGTTTTTCTTTGCTTTTAAGAGACATTATTAATCATTTGTGACAGATATGCTATATTACATGAAAAATTAACTAATATTCATTTTGAATCGGATAATAAATGCGTCCATAAGTTAATAAATTAGTTGAAAATTAATATAATTTCAAAGTTAAAAATGAAGAAATTATTTAAAACTTAAGTTAAAAAAGTAAACAAAAAAAATGAAAGTTGCTAAAATCATTTTAATGTAATTTACTCTTAGGATTCATGCTCACAGTGTTCTTTATCTTCAAACTGAAATATTTTCTACGGAATTTAAAATAAATTCAATCAAACTAATTGTTGATAAAACTTAGAGAAACAAAGACAAAATAGTGTGATTTCTTGGTTTAACTCGCATCTTTTTCAGTTTCTGGAGAAGTGCTTTTCAACTAAAAGAAAGTACTTGGAAATATTTTATTTTTAATGCTGTATTAAAAATAAAATATTTCCAAGTACTTTCTTTAATTGAAAAGCACTTCTCCAGAAACTGAAAAAGATGCGAGTTAAACCAAGAAATCACACTACTTTGTCTTTGTTTCTCTAAGTGTTATCATAAAAAATAATGACAACAACTTAAGGTTCGTGCCTCTTCTTCGGGTACGCCATTTAATTTATTGTCTTGTGTCAAAGCTGAAGCATTTAAATGCCGACTACTGCAACTACGACACTCCTTTCTTTTAAACTGTCGCAAGTCGTGACTAAGTCTAAAAAATAATGTCACTTTTTAAAGGTATTTCTTTTTGAAAAGTCCGTTTGTTTGTTTATTTAGCAGCATATCAACTCCTTATGGGTCATTTAATACTGAAATTTAATTTTCTTGGGAACATTAGTAATTTATTTCACACACACACACACAAAAATGTATTGCTGGTAATTTTTTATCTATGAAAATATATTGTTGGCATTTTTAATATAAAAATGTATTTTTATACTTTCATAGTGTCTTGATCCTAGTATGAGAGTTAAGTTAACTATTTGCCCATAACTGGGACCCTAAACGGTGCTACTACCTTGTGTCAGGGTAGACCAGGGAACAACAGCAATTAAGAGGTGTTTAACATGCTTCTCAAAATCTCCCAATCAAATTAAAAAATTTGTTTATTTACTAAGCCTAGCTTAACTTTGGCAAAAGGCCACAAATATAGAACACACAATGAGGGTCAAACTACTCAGTAGTAATGGCTAACCATTGCCCCATAATGAGTTGCCTCATATACTAAACACAGCATCATGTTGGTACATTGTCACAAGTATGGAATACTCATTAATGAGGATTGAACTTATTAATAGGTAGTCACTGTTACCCATTACCCAACAATGAGGGACGCATTTTTTTTTTACTCTCAGGAAATGTTAACTTCTAACTCAAATGTTCACTTGGTGAGGTTAGATTAGGACTTGCATTGGGTGAGCATTTCATTAAAACAAAATCAACCCTTAATGGGTTATTTAATGTTGAATTTTGCATGGCATGCCCAGTGGGGTTCAAACTCGCTACTCAGAAGTAAAAGTCAATCTTAACTATTACCCCCATACCTACTCACTTAGTGCTCAAATCCTAAACATGTCATGACATTGTATCTAGATGCACCATATCAGCATGAAAAGAATGTTAGTGAAGTGGCTGCAGGACAAAAGTTTAAGACCAGTGTTTCTCAATGTATTTTACTTCAGGGTGCACTTGTAGAATAACTAACACTCTAGGATGTACTTTCAATTTTAATAAGGAAAAATTAGTCCTGAAATTTGAAAACAAGGAAATAATAAAGAAATCTTATCAATTTCTTCTTAAAATAACCTTTATCACTCTGTATGTCACTTCATTTGCTGTACAAAAAGTTTATCCTGCCACTAAAGGTGACTCTGATACCTGAACAATAGTGAGTTTGAATTTCAGAGTTGTGTTGTCATATCCTGCTATGGTAACAGAAAACATCTTAGAGTGAACTTAACAATAAGGATACTGCAAGTGACAGGCTTTGAAAAAAAGAACACAGTGGAAAGGAAAGTAATATTAATAATGCAAAGTGCTAAAGGTTAAGGAATTTAGCATCCAGTTTAAAATATCAAATGACAAAGACTTAAACATGGAAACCATGTAGATTTTAAAAAATAATGTTTCTTCTTTAAACATAAAAATAATTCATGAATTACTCTTCCGTTAATTTGGGGTGGAGCTGGCTAGCTTTCAGGGTATATTTGTGTGCCTGGACACTCCAGTTGAGAAACACTGGTTTAGACCTAACATTATCATCATCATCGTTGCTTTAAGCTTGCTTGGATTTGTTTGACCTCATGATGCTATCTTTTCTGATCATCCATGGCAGTTGGTAGTTCATCCATATTGCATCTAGCAACATGAATTGGTTGATGTTGAACTTCGTGACAAGCAATGCTGGATGTCTTGGTATTGATAAAATCACAAATTCATAAAAAATCTCTCACCAACAAATCTGATTATATTTGTCAATATTATATTTGTAGCAGAAAATTCAATTTATTACAATGTTTCAGCCATTGTATGCTCCGGCCTTCTTCAGGTAGTTGGAATGTTGAACTGAACCCTTTATTTCATTTCATTTCATTCCACTTTGTCTATGTCACCACTTTTGTTTGGATTCTATATCCTACTAACATTCATTCATGTTCACACAAATACCCTTGGGAAACGTATAACTCCATCTCTTCTCTTCCCCATCTATGGGTTAAACAGCAGTTCTCCTACTTTGAGGTGGTGACCAGTCTGGAAGTAAAACTCCAAATTGAAAACCAGCTGTCAAGCTATGCTGCTATAAACACAACATTGCTACCATGGCTGCAGTACATATAGTGCCCCTAATGGGTTAGATAATGATTTTTGCTTTGTGTTCTTCAGTTGAATTTCTTCTCACATACTGCTAATAACAACTAAATACATGAGGGAATGCTCTAATTCACCTCTTTTTGTAGTATTGAATGATCCCCAATGTCAAAACTTTCATTAACGAAGCCTAAAACCATCTCATATGAAAAATAAGTCACAGGCATTGAACATAGTTTGAATGGCAGTCATGTTGAACACTTAATAAATCTGTTGACTGAAGTAGTTGAGAAATGTAAAATATTTGAAATAAATATTTGTACCCAAATATGAAGCCAGGAATAAAATTGAAAAAAGTATTAACATTATTTGTATCTCTATGCCAGAATTTTTTAGTTGAGGAATTATTATTATATACCTTCCTATTCAGACCAGCATGCTCATCTTAGTTGTTATACTCACAATGTTTCAGTCATTGTACCTTCTGTTCTTCTTCAGGTACTTGTCTTATTATATGCCTTGCTATTCAGACCAGTATGCTCATTTTCTCATTTTGGTTGTTATACTCACAATGTTTCAGATACTTGTCACTTGAATTTTGAACTGAACCTTCTAATCAATCAACATGGATAGATTATTCTCCATACTGAGGGGAGATAACTCATATCAGTTAGTACTCGCTCATCCACTTTTGTGTAACTTGGTTTTTGTTTTTTTTTTACACTAAACCAGAAGATTTTTTTCAGCACTACCAGACCCAGGAAATGAACTCACAACTACCAGGGCAGGTCATATACTTTGATTCCATAGATTGATTGATTTGTTTTTATGAGTTATCAACTTTTTGTAAGTTAGTTAAAGGCTGAAAATATTTTTAGATTGTAAGAATTTTAGGTGATGATAATGATTTACTGATAGAAGTCCTACTAATTAATCCAGAGCTGGGGGGGGGGAAGGATTCATGCCTTTCCCATGCATAAGTGAATATAATGAACTCAACTGGAATTGGAAATCAGCTCTCAGATTTCCTGTTTCTTCTGTTATCAATTACGCCACTTGTACATTCAAGCTTTTAGCATCTGGTATTTCCAAGTGGTCACCCATCTAGGTACTGGCCATGCTTGACATTGCTTAACTTCAGTGATCGTACAAGAACTGGTTTTTCAACATCTGGCCATAAGCCTGATTCCTTAGAAGAAAACTGACAAGGGACACAAAAAGGTGAATATGTTTGGTGAGTATTAATTGATACAAAGTCTCTGCTAAGCATGGAAAGCAGAATAAGAACAATCTATCTGTGGATTGAATAAAGGGTTTTGTTCAAAATTCTTATCTCTGTCTCTTTTTCCTAATGTTATTAAGCTTAACAAGCCAAAGACAGATTTGATTTGACTGTAGATGCCAAAGCAATTTTCCTGAACAAACTGAGAAATGTTGGAAGTGACCATTTGCTGCCTTACTTTGTAAGTACTTTTTTTTATCTTCAGTTCTTTTTTTTATCATCCAGTATTTGGGATAGTTTCTCTCTGATGTAATGGAATAACCTGTCACCTCCATGAGTGACTACACTATAGGTAGTAACTACCTATAAGTATCTGTAAGTCAACGGACTAGAGAGACTAGCTGGGATCTGTTGAGTATGACTCAGACTTACGTGAGAACTACCGACCTTCCAATAGTAGCACTCACTACTGAATTGATTTGTGACGATTATGCACATAACTGTTACCTTATTTCTTATTGTACTGGTTTTTACAATAAACCTTTACTTATTTTATCCACCATGTTTGTCAAGTATATATTCCTATTAGCACAGAATATAACACTACTAAGACATTGTATGTCTTAATAGAGTACTTTCTAAAAAAAAAAAAGGAGTTACATATGGAATGACACTTCTGCTGTGGATTAGATTATCTGTTCTCTAAGTCAAGGATCAAAGTATAGTATCTCTGCATTCTGTAGAAAAAGTATTAGACACAAAAATATGTATTAATCTGACACATTGTATTTTATATATGTGGATAATTGTGCAATTCATCCATATGTAATTTTATAGCTATTTTTTATTTTTATCATTTCACCCCAAGCAAAGCAATAAAGCCACTAAGATGTAAGGGATTACTGAGTGTGAGAGAATATGAGAAAAAAAATTAAAGAATAATAAAAGAACAAGAATTAAGAAGATAGAAGATAACGATTGACATTGCATTTAAAGTTTTGAAGCTGACTGGAAAGCAAGAGACCAAAAGAGAGTTCTACAAGCAAGAAGTACAAGAGAAGAAACTGTTAGCATAGAATTATGGTTACATCTCTAGCCATTTTAACTCTAAAAAGATGAGACCTTGCCACCAGTTTAGTACTCTGTTTAATTCTATAAAGTTTAGGTACCGAAGAAGAAAGTTCATCAGAACAATTATCATGAAAATATTTATAGAAAAATTACAGGGAAGCTATGTTATGGCAATGGGAAAATGTCTGAAGCCGAGACCAATAATACTGCAGATTCTTTGTATTTTATCTAGAATCTCTAAATACATAACAGAAGCATCAGACCTCTACATTACACATTACACTACTAATATAGTTTACTATCCCTGCTGGGGGGAACACATTTTCTTTATTTACATTTCACAGATGTGCAGACCAACAGGTGTAATACACAATGTTTAATCAGAATAGGGAGTCTATTTCAAATACGAAGTATCCATTATAATAACATTTGAAGTAATAAAAATGTCTGATTAAAAACAAATCCATTCATTTTTTAGAAATTATTAAGACTGTCAAAAAATGATTTATAATTTAAGGTATTTTGCAACTCCTTATGGAAGGCTGTAGGTGAAATAGGTTAAAAGAAAGGTGTCACCATAATGAGCACCATACTATGTGGGGGCATGATTGTATATTTCAAGCAGTTTCAAGAACTGTTCTGACCACAACCATATATAGACTTCTATTACTTGAATTTGATCAACATAATAAAATTTATGAGGATAGCAGGAAATTGATACATGGGTATGTAGTCAAAATAGGTGAAATACCATTCAGTACAAAGATAAATTTCAGAACAAAACTACATCAGCCACTGGCCATGGGTATGGTAACTTACTTTTTTCTTTTTTAGTCATTTCACCCCAAGCAAGGCAGTAAAGCCACTAGGATATAAGAGAAATATGAGAAAGGCTACTATTAATCATAGTGGATAAAAAAAGAATAAGAATTAAGAAGACAAGATAATGATTGACATTGCATTTAAATTTTTGAAGATCAAAATTGACTGGAAAGCAAGAAGCCAGAAGAAAGTTCCACAAGTGAGAAGTGCGGGAAAAGAAACTATTAGCATAGAACTTACAGTTACATCTCACCATTTCAACTGTAAAAGGATGAGACCTTGCTGCCAATCTAGTACTGCGCTTAAATTCATAAAGTCTAGGTAACATAGAAGAAAGTTCATTAGAACAATTATCATGAAAATATTTATAGAAAAGACAAACAGAAGCTATGTTATGGTGGTGGGAAAGGGACTGAAGCCAAGATACCAGGTCAGGACCAATAACATTGCAGATTCTTCTTTGTATTTTATCAAGAATCTCTAAATATATAGCAGGATCACCAGACCAGATCTGACAGCAATATTCAAAGCAGTGACAAATGGTAGACTTATAACTATGTAAGATAGATTCTGGTGAGAAAAAATGTCTAGCCCAATATAGTGAACTAACTTTCTTAACAATTGATTCAATATACTCTTTCCACTTCATGTCTACAGAAAATGTTACTTAAAAAATACACAAGTTGCAAGATTCATCTCTATAACTCAGGCATATTGGACATGGGAAGACAAACAAATACAAGTACAGGTGTTTTACTAAAAATGCCCCCTCCCCCCAAAAGATATATTTTAGTACAGGTGCATGAAAATATCAAATTTCCAGAGAGGATGGTAGTATCATTAAATTTCTTCAAAATATCATGGTATTCATGTTGTATTGGATTTTGATACTGGCTCCTACCTGACTAAACACATATCTAGAAAATATGCAGATATCCGTAATCAATTTCCCATTGTACTTATATTGTGTTTGGAGATACAGAGAATAAAATATTAATAGTTGTAAAATGATTGATCATTTCTGCTAGAAAAAAATGTAAAATATTAACTTCAGAGGTGTGTCTAAAGCTAAAGTAGAGTAGCAAGTTTTCCAAGATATGGAAAATAATAATAAAAAAAAAACACAGGAATAAAGTAGAAAAAGAAAAACAGGATTTTTGCTACTAAAAATTAAAATATTCCAATGGTAAAATGTAAAATTTCTGAACTGGAACTTGCAGAATAATTTGCAATACACAGTGAAGTCAGTCATTTATGCTCAAGCATTACAACCAATATTGCTGCAACATCTCATTCTATAAATTGCTTGGGGTATTTTCCAGTACTGCACAAGTACTATAATCTAATTCATAATATTAACTTGGCCAAACTGGTCACTGTTGGTCAACACAGAGCAAATACCCATGTGTGATATTAGCATATGAATAGTGTGGTATGCATGATCAAGGGTAATACAAATAAAAGTTACTGTTCGTTTAGTAATTAAATTAGATTGGTTTGGTTTGATTATCTTTCATGATGAGTAAATGAAAAGCTAGCAAACTTAGTGGCTGCACATTTTTGGCAAAATACAGATATGAAGAGCCAGTTTACTGTGATGATTTTTATCGCGATGGCGATAAATTAGTTTGCAGTTTTTGTCAACACACTGTAGAGTGGACTCACAGGGACATGCTTGTAGATCAGAAATTTTTGAAGAACAAAAAAAAATAAATATGCCTATATAAGTAGGCTATATATAGTTGTATATTTTACTGTTTACACACAAGTCTCTGTTTTTCATGTGTTTTTATGATTTTGAAACAAAAATTGAAATTTACTGTCACTGGAGAACATAGAATTTGATGTTTTAGAACACGGGGGAACTTGCCACTCTAAGCTAAAGCTTCCAAATTTATTTGCATTAACAAAATACATTTTGAAGATAACATTTTTGATGATGCATATTTTTGTTAGCCAAGCTAAGTATATAATTCAAGATGTATATAAAAAAATAATTGCCTGAAAAATTTAGCTGATGATTCAAGAAATAACAGATAATTACACTAAAGTATCATGACACACCAGGTTGGAAAAGTGATCTAAAGAATAGGAAGGAAGGAAGGAAGGAAGGAAGGAAGGAAGGAAGGCTATATTTTTTGTCTTCCTTTGCAAAAGAATTTTTAAGAGTTTATTCTTGGTGAGTATTGGATTTTTTTTTTTTTTTAAATCATTTCACCCCAAGCAAGGCAATAAAGCCACTAAGATGCAAGGGGTTACTGAGTGTGAGAGAATAGGAGAAAAAAAAACATTATTAAATAGAGAGAAGAATAAAAGAATAGGAATAAAGAAGACAAACGATAATTGACATTGCATTTAAATTTTTGAAGATTAAAGTTGACTGGAAAGCAAGAAGCTGGAAGTGAGTTCAACAAGTGAGAAGTGCAAGATAAGAAACTGTTAGTATAGAATTTATGGTTACATCTAGCCATTTTAACTGTAAAATTATGGAACTTTGCCACCAATTTAATACTTAGTACTTGGTCTTAGTACAAGAATGTAAAAGAACTATAAAGCAATTAAACTCACCCTAATAACATTAGCAATTAAAAGTAGGAGTTAATGATTTAAATTTCAAATTTTGCAATTTTAGCCAGTTTCAGCATTCATTGTATATGATGTGCATTGAAAATAAAATATAACAGTTTTCAGTGCAAGTATTACTGAATTAGGCTATTATATATGTTATAATATAAAAATTTAAGGCCAACTTTATAACTAAAACATTTAGACACTAAAATATGTTATTTACTTCTTTGTTCTTTAATGAATTTCACTCTATGCCAAAGCCTGTCACTAGTACCATACTACTCATGGATCTGTTAAAGATTCTAATTGAAAATGGGAGAAAAAATAACTCCAACTATGCCACTGAAGGCCAAACTTTCCCTAAGTTAGGCAAATACTTACTGCATCTAATATTTATCTGTATACAACTTTGTATTGCCCTACCTACCATTTTTTCTCGACAGCCAGAGCATTATAAGTAACACTTAAAGGTTGCCTGTCATATGACAGTGTTTTTATGTTGGCAATATACTTTTGCAATTATGGGTAATATCAGGTTTTCTTATTTTTGGTCATCCAAACTTTAGCTATCCCATAAGACACTCATAAATTTAAGCAGGCTTTCATCACATAATGAAAGCAAAGTTGACAGGTATTCACTGTAATATTTGTGCATTAAAAAGCACCAGGTACCAGATTTTATAAATACATAGATAAAGCAATATGGTTGAATGTAAAGGAATATTTTTCTTTTGGCCAGTTATTATAATCAGTGTTTTTTTTTTTGGGGGGGGGGTATCCAGTGGCCCATAGGGTCATAGAAGCACCATCAGCCAGAGTAGAAGTGATGTTTCTTGGGCAAGATAGCCTGACTGAGACCAACCCTCTCTAGGCTACTTTTGAATTCAGAGTTTTTCCTCCTTCTCCTAGACTGGTTACCTACCCAAGGCTATAGAATCAAGTCTGTGCTGCTATTTACCTATAGCTGTGGGTAGAAGAGGAGGATTCATACCTTTCCCAAGGGTATTAGCATGTAAGTAAATGTAATGGATCCGAATGGAATTCAAACTCATCTCTCTCATTCCTCAATCTGAGCCATTAACCATTACTCCACTGTTATGAGTTTGTAAATAGGAAGCAACCATTTTAAACTAAAGCATGAAAGGTTTTCTTGCTTATTAAAATAATATGAATTATGTTTTGTTATTAAAATACATTGTGTAATTACCATATGTTCCAGTTCGACTACATTAGCATTAATTTTTATTTTTTATTTTACCAGGTCCAGGATAACTTGACTTACTGTCATATCAAACGAAATGGACTCTACATTATGGTGGTGACCTCCTGTGAAATATCCCCTATCTTTTTGGTGGAGTTCCTTACCCGGTTAGAAAAAAAATTGTTTTAATGCTTGGTAGATAAAATATTTGAAGAATTTATTTTTATTTATTTATATTTTTGGTTCTTTCCTTATTTTTTTTTTTTTTTTTTTAATTTCTATTCATTTTCTTGAAATGTATTCAAAATAAATCTTCCTAAAAGGCATTATCACTATTTAAAAAAAATTTAGAATTATTTAAAAATAGAGAAAAATATAATGAAAATGAATTCTTGTATATTTTGAATGTTTTAATGTAATCTTCTAAATAAATAAACTGTAAATTCTGTCTGTCTGTTTGTGTGTCTGAAACCTCTCTAACTCGGGTTACACTTGCTCTACATAGACATATTATACCTTTTTAGAATCAAGATGATCCTGGGGTTGAAAATCTGCCCTTCATCTGGTGCTTGAACATCCAGCATTGGGATTTATGTCCAGATAAGGAGGGAACAGTTAAAAATTCAGATTTTACAATTAACTGAAAAAAACTTGTGATTTTAAAAGTGTTTATGTTGAGCTTAAAGTAATACAAAAACTTTGTGAATTTAAAAAAATTTGTATTAAATTCAGTTTAAAAATCAACTTTATTTCTTTAAAATGCCAAGGAATCAGATTTAAAGTAAGAGGTTTTGTGATGTGAAGTTTTGAAGTTCCATGCAATTTGTGAGTTAAAGAACTCAATATTTGGCTTGAATTTGAATTTTGGCCCAAATTGGTCTTTTGGCCAGAATTGAACTTAGCCTGTATCAGAGTTAAAGTGAGGTTTTCAAGTTCTATAGAATGAATTGAGGAATTCAAAGTTATTTCTTCAAAATCATCATCATTGCTGTTTTCCAAGCTGAACTTAAGATCCCTTTAGTTTTGGTCTGGAGGCCCAATTGGCCCTCCACAGGAGCCTAGCTTAAAAGTCTGCACAGGGTGCATCTCTTAAGATAATATTTAATATTTACTCTAATGCATTTAATCTCTTAAGATATTATTTAATATTTACTCTAACACATTTAAACTGGTCTAAATGTCAAAGTACAGAAAGTAGAGGAGTGCAGATAATGTTGAATTTGGTAAATAATAACTATTTGAAGTTTTAATGCAAGAATGAATGACTTGTGACATTTGGTTGTCCCATAGGAAATGATATATTTTGCTTACTGACTCTTCAAAAAAAATGAGAAAAGTTTCTTTGCATAAATCATTACTTTAGTGCTTATTTCTTACTAATCTCTTTGCTATTTTGCTTTCATAAAAAATATTCATTTTAACCTCCAGAAAAAACAATATTAACTGCTCATATTATATGAGTTCAAATTAGGCCACATTGCCAAAAAAGCTCAATGAACATTGTCTTGGCAGTGGTGCTGTTAATATCAGAAATTTCATTCAAGAGATGAGATCCTTGAAAATGAATTGAGAGGGAGACATAATTTAATCATAAAAAATATGATCAATTGAATGCATTGGTTAGAGAAAATCTCAAATAACAGAAAAATTTCAGAACTTGGAACATCTCACATGTAATAAAGGAATAGCTTAGACTAGTGAATAGAGATGGCCCAATTCTTTTCTATGGCAATGCATGCCTTAACACTTCATGGTCTGTTGTTCAAAAATTGTACAGCCTTGCTCAGGACATTTTGCAGCATCAACCTAATTCGCCAGCTGTCTCTCCCACAGATTAATGCTTATTTAAACACTTTGAGCTTTCCATGTGCTACAGATCATTGTCTGATATTGAAGAACTAATCAAAACATTTGAATAGTTTATTAAGGCAAAAAATGAAGAGTATTTTTAAAAATGGAATAAACAGTTATGTTGGAATATAATCATAGAACAAAGTGGATATCATTTTGATTAAATGGAAGTATTTTTTCTTATTCATCAAAATACATTTTCATATGGGAAAACCAAATAATTATCAACACAAAGAACAGTTTAGGTAAAGATTAACTATAATCCTTGCTTCAGTTCATCTTCAATGTTACAAAGAGTTTTGCTGTTCTCTTACTCAACTGTGTCATGAACAAATAATCAAGGGGGTTGCAGTCTGGGAGTTAGGTGACCAGATGATGGGGTGATGTCACCACAGAAATTGTCTGAGAGCCATGACTGGATTCTCCTGCTTGTGTGGCATGGTGCAGAGTCCTGTTGCTAGACATAGATTTTTCCAGCAGCCACTCTCTTGACCCAGGGTAGCACTACCTCCTCAAAGCACTTGATGTAGGCCTTCATGATGTGTCTGAGGCCCTCACCAATGAATTTTGGAGTTCTTTTCTTATCAGAATGATCAGAGTGAGTTTTCTGAGTTGCCGTACTGTCGTAATCACCATTAGACTCATCCAACTCTTTCCAAATCTGCTGCACTCTCCTCAGATTGACACCCAAACACTCTGAAATTTTCGTATTAGAGCTACCAGCATAATTGCCAAGCAGTACAGCATGCTATTTCCAAATTTCTGACAGAGTGAATTGTGTCATGGTGATCTTTTTCTTACAGACAATGCCCAACTGAGCTTACTATACTGTGCAGTCAACAAAATCAAAAACAATGTGCATATGTGAAATTAAAAATATAAAATACCAACAATTTATCCATCACACCCTGTATATAGAAAACTCCATCAATAAAACCGTTATTAGTCTGAAGAAGTTCTATCTATGGATGTACGTATAAGCACTATACTGTATAGTTTTTTTCCATGTTACCATTTGATTGCACACTGTTATTAGTCTGATATATATATATATTTGTATAAAATATATTCCACAATGGATCTTAGATTTTTGTGTAGATACCCTTATCTTTAAACCTGTATGAGTCACCTCAGATTTCCAAAAATGGATAGTCCCCTGTCATCTGCCTCCCATATCAACTGAGCTACACCACATGCTACACACCCTCACTAAGACGAGAGTAGTGAGAGGGAGCAAAAGAAACAAGTTACCAACTAGGAATTATGAGTAATTTAAACATTTTGGGGTAACAAAACACCACCATGTGATTAATGCTGGGTTAAGCAAATTTTACAACTTGTTTGTATGGCTTTCATGCTTGTGTAGCAGGATATTTTTCATTTTTTAAATGCTATGTCTTAAAGGGACATAGGTGCTCATAGCTCTCCCCAGATTCCTTTTTTTTATTATGTCAGAATTGTGATGACTTCTTGGGGAAAATAATAGTCTGGTTTCCTGTTGCCTTTTCCATGGTTCGAGGTATTCTTTCTCTGAGACTGGCTGCCACTCAAGACTAGAGAGAACAGTCTCCCCTGCTATGATATTTGTGCAAAAGGGAACACCACAGATCAGGTGGGAACTTACCTGACTGATCACACTTTCCACATTGATAACCATTGTTGTAAACATACATATACAGTTGGTGTAATAGATAATAGTACAGAATTGGATATCAGACAGCCAATTTCTCATACCAGTAGGGTTTGTTATATATACTTATGTGTGAGTATCCTTAAGAAAGGTATGAATCCACCACTTCTCCTCCAAGCTATAGGTTAATTAATAGGACTTGTGTCAGTGAAATCATTATTATCTCCAAAAAATTCTTTCAATCTAAAAAAAACATTTTCAGCTTTAAATATCTAGAAAAAGATTGATAAGCCATAAAAGAATAAATCAATTAATTCACCCAATACAAGGCCCAAGAGCCACTCAAGTTAGAGGGGGTACTGAATTATGTTGTCAGTAGAGGAGGTAAAAAGTGCATGAGGTTATGTCGGAGATAATGGTTAATCATAGACTCAAAGTGTTTAGGGTTGTAGTGGTCAGGAAAACATCCTATTGAGAATTTGTTCCACAAATTTTCAGTTCTAGAGAAGAAGATATCTGTCCAAGTGAAACATAGAATTGCTTCTATGTTGGAACACCATAATTGGTAATGATGGCAATTATGTCATTTAAATTTGCATCCATTTTTTTTATCCTTTTAAGAATGTGATATTATAACCTAATAAAGACTTTGACAGTCTACTTCAAAATTACTTGTTTTGTACAATATGTTTATTATATAGGAATCCGTGTCATAATTTGAACATGAGATGTGTGATAGTTTGTGTCAAAATTTCTTTGTGATTGAATAAAGTTGAGAGACTACCCACTGAGCAGTATATCCAAACTAAAGGACCAACTTTAATTTTTGTTGAAAAAGTTTATAGGCTTTGTTGTTTATTTTTATTTTTTACTTGGCAGGTTTTTTCACATTTGCAAAGATTTTTGTGGTATTGTCAATGAAGATGCGATTCGGGCAAATATTCTGTTGATTTATGAAATCCTGAATGAAATTGTGGTAAGCAGGTTTTTATATATCTATATATATTTTAGGGTAATGTCAAAGTGGAAAATGTTTTTGCATGACATGTTTTGTCTTTGAGTATTTCATTAGACTAAAGTGATGTTTATGTTGACGTGACAACATGTGCATGAAAGTGAAGGGGTGCTGAGAATTTGATATATTTTTTTTTTAAATATATGTTTTGAATATATACTCTAGCCAATTTCATTTAGTTTATTTTCCTTTTTGTTTATACTTTGATCACTTTTTTTCATTAAATATCCAATATTGTGATAAGATCTCCCAAGAAAGGTGAAAGAATCAATATGTAAATTTACTGTGGATAATCTAATAATTAAAGTGCTTTCTATACATTTTTGTCTTAGTAAATTGCTTTTTATTTTAAGTAAAGTAGCATTTTTTTAAATCAAAATTATTGTCAGACTCATTACAGTGTGAAATTAATACATTGACTGAGTGGTTTTAGCATAGATTTCCCTAAAATTGTTTTTGATTTGATATATCGTTTTCCCATAAAAATATTTTTTGGTGACTGATGATTTATTCAAACTTTCAATTCTTGCCATAGATTTTCAATAGGATTCAAGTCAGGACTCATTGGAGGCCTTCACATAACTGTAATCTTTTTCTAAAGTCACGCAGTCACTGATTTAGATGTATGTTTGGTATCATTACCTTGCTGGAAAGTAAATCTCCGACCTAGATGAAGCTTTTGCACTGATAGTTGTAGATTTTCATCCAGAATTTTGATATAGTCTGCAGATTTCATTATTCCTCTTATTACAATTAATTGTCCAGTTTCCTTTGAGCTAAGACAACCCCAAAACATCATCGAGCCAACTCCATGTTTTAATGTTGCTACTGTGTACTTTGGGAGGAAAGCCTCGCCTTTCTTGCACCAAATCTTTTGTACATCATAATGTCCAAAAAGCTCAATTTTTGTGTCATCACTCCAAACTGCTTAAACTTCTTACTATATACTATAGATGTAGATTTATTTGTAGAAGTTAATTCCCTGTCTCAAGTCAACGTTAAGCTCCCCTGTCTTCCCCAATGTGTTGTTAATGTAAGAATAACAATGGTGACACTCTATGCATCATGTGATGTTATCTGCTGAAATTGTCACAAATATTCTACTGAATAAATAGTCTAGAAGGCTTGACCGATAAAATAATTATGTAAATTACTTATATTTACATGAAACATTCAATTTAAATGAAATTTTCTACTGTATGAATAATTTTGTCTTTTCCTATTTTGCATAATTTGCCTGTCAAATTTGTTGTATTTAACCTATTGTTCTGAAAATTTAGTTTTATATTCTTTTTTTGTGCTTATTAACATATAAAAAGCCTGGCATCATATGGTCATTAGATTCGGAGTAATGGATAAAAATATTCAAAATTTATGGGTGTATGAATAATTTTGTCATTGATTTTATACATACATATATATATATATATATATATATATATATAGTTTTAATGTGTGCTATATTTATGGGTTAAAGTGCTCAATATCAGGGATAGAACATATGTAAATATAAAAGTGAAGATGGAAGTCAGCATCCAAAGGCAACAGCCTGTTTCATGTATCTAAAGTTACGGGAATGTAAAAAAAAAAAGGTTAAAAATAGTAGAAACAATGATGATCAAAAGGAAAAAGCCAACACTCAATAACATCAACTATGAACACAGTCACAATGTGCTGACTGTGGGTGTTAAAAAAAATTCCTATAACTAGATATATATATAAAAATCTGCACATTCAGTTAAAATAAAAAAACATCCTTGATAATGGTTAAAAAAATAGTCGAAAGCGCTTGGATATACAGTTTTTACCCACCTTATGTCTAAAAAGGAAAAAACTTGTACAACCACAAAAAAAAAATTAAATAAAAAGCTTAACCACTGTACCTTCTCAGTCATTTTAATGAAACTTCTGTGTGTGTGTGTGTGTGTATATATATAAAGTCAACACCCAGAGACGACAGGCTATTCCATGCTAGACGCAATTGTCAGGCCGCCTGACGATTGCATCTAGCATGAAAAACAGCCTGTCGCCTCTGAGTGTTGACTTCAATGTTCACTTTTATATTTATATTTACATACACTCTATCTCTGATATTGAGCACTTTATCCCATAATATAGCATACCTTAAAACTATATTTCTTCATATATATATATATATATATATATATATGTACACGTGTACATAACTATATGGTACTGAAAAGTTCTTAGCCTAAAAAAAAGGTATTCCAAAATATTTCTGTTTGTTTATTTTGTATATAGGGTTAGGTCATAGTTCTAAAATATCACGACCCATCACTGATATGTCATAATGCAGTGCTATTTACAAGGAAGAGTATGAAACCAAAAAGTCACGCATACAAAAAGAGCAAACAAGGCACTATACAATCAACATTTTTCTGGTTTCAGAATCTATTGTCAGAAATTTAATTTCTGTATCTATCGTTCTATCTCTCTTACTTTCCTTCCTCCTCTCCTTTTCCCCCTGTGTGCAGTGTAAGAACGGCTGCTGCTGTGTCACGTGGCGAAATCGTGTCTAACGATTGGTCGTACGTGATTTTCCCGTTTGTTTTCGACTGGATTAGAGGAATCTAGTCAGTAGTAGCCAGAAAAGAAAAAGTGTTCGCAGTGTGAAGATGAAGTCGTCTTGTCTTGCGACGAAAAGAAACTTGCCTGAAGATCACTTGTTGTTGCTCTGACAAGGAAAAGTGTGTTCGCAGTGTGAAGACGATAAGTCGTCTTGTCTTGCAATGAAAAGAAAACTTGCTTGAAGATTCTGTTCCAGTAATCAAGTGGATTATTGTTCAGCTACCAAGGACAAGTCAGTAAAAACTTATCAAAAAATCGGTTAAAGTAATTATTGTAAAAAAGAATTTTACAATAGAACATTCATAAGGAAGTCTTCTTTTGACAATCGTGTCGAAGAGAGAAACAAGTCAGTCAAGCGGCTGAAAAGCTACCTTCCTTCAAGGAGTTATTTTGTCCTATTGGAGGACGAAATCCTGATGTGGAAAAAGTATATGAAAAAAGATCTTCTAAGAAGTTGAATTTGTGTCACAGAGAAAGTTTGAAAAAACAAGTCTGCATTTATTCTACCTCTCTCTACCTCTTTCACTCTCTCTTGAACTGTTATTGGAGTCCTTTTTAAGGGCTCACCAAAGGGATGTTTTGGCAGTTATTTTCAAGTTGTACCTGTGAACTTTAACATCAAACTATTTATTTTTTCCCCCCTCATTTTCTTTTTTTTCTTTTCCCACAATAAATTTTATAGCTATTTCAAGTGGTTTTTCCTTCTTCTTTATCTCGCTTGTTATGGTTGTATATTCATGGTTTCAGGTCTCTGTTAACTGTGTTATGCGGGATTCCCGTCATTGGATGTAATGACAAAGTTTCCCAACCTTTTTTGGCGTCGAGTTTGGCTGTTACTAAGCTAAATTTCGACACTATCTTAAGATTTGTAAAGGACATACCAGACTGACTGAAGAGCTTAGTATATGTCAAAGAAACTTCTAAGATTTCCCTAATATTCTGATAAAATCTTTTGTATTTGCTTAATATAAAGTCTTGCTTCACTAGATATATTTACAATTTTTTCAACTTAGCCAGCAATTTTTAATTTTGTTTGGTCTGTTCTCTTCCATAAAATGTAGACACTACCTCCTTTGATAAAAATATTTCATAGTTGTAGTTTTGATGTGTGTTACATGCCTCACCAAGAATAAAGTCTTATTGAATCAAATTTATTCTTTCTGATTTTATTTTCCCTCTTTGATTAGAACTAGACAAAAGACAGTTTATGGGAAATTGTAATTATATTAATCTAAGCTAAAGTGTATTGTAACGGCTTCAACGGTTTATGATCCAAACATCTGTATTTTTCTCAATTCTCTTTTAGGAATTTGGTTACATTCAACTGGCAACCACAGACAAAATCAAGCCATACATCCAGTCTGATCCTGTCTTGGTGCTGGCTAATCGTTCCCCAGCAGAGGAAATAGCATCAAGACTGGTAAGATAAGTTATTTGGGAACCAACAATTGGTTACATTTTTTTATTATAAAAATTATAAACTTTAGTATTTATAGAGTAGATATTTCTATCAAAATCTGGAAAGAGGAAAACATTTTATTCAAATTATAATATTACATTTTATTATAACTTTAATATATTATATATATATATATATATATATATATATATATATATATATATATATATACACATATTAAATATATTTTCTGTTTATACGTTATTTTAATAGATAAAATTTATATATGTAAATGCTCTGTCTTTTAATTAAACTGTATTAATTACATTTAACGGCCTGAATGTTCTATGAAATTTCTTGAACATTCAAGCCAGTAAATGTAATTAATACTGTTCGATTAAAAAAACAGAGCATTTACTTATATAAATTGTATCTATTAAAACAGTATATAAACAGAAAATATGTTAAATAATTGTCAGACTTAGTCCATTTCATTTTATATATATATATATATATATATATATATATATATATATATATGTAAGCTGAAGTATATTTTTATGTATTCTCTTTAACAGTTTGGAATTGAAACCAGAGTGGCTCCAAGTTCTGCCTCAAGCAAACCTGTGGTCCGAACTGCTGCTGAACAGGTGAGCAAATCATCCACATCATTGGCAAAAGATTGTTATTTTTTTACCTAAAGACATAGCAAATATATATATATATATATATATATATATATTTATATGTTACGAACTTGTAGCATATAGGTGAACCATGGGTTTTAAAAAAAGGAAAACGTGGGATCTTTTCTCAGTCTTCACTCAGGGATGGAAGCAACACATGGGAGTCAGTGGAAAACGAGACGCAAGATGATGGATTTCAAATTTAAAACATTTATTTATAAATACATAAACAGGTAAAGAAAGAAAAAGAAAATTCACTTAACAAAAGGGAAAGGGATCATGAAAGAGCAGAAGGTATGAGCGAATACATACATATATATAAAAAGATCAAGCCAAGAAATCAACTTATCTCTCAGTTAAGTTGTTATCTCCACACAGAGTTCTAATTTGCCGAAGCAAGTATTCTTATGCTAAAACAATATTTTGGTCGGCCGGCAATTTTCCTGGGTTCCTTTTCTTTTGGAAATGATTGGGGTCCACACCATCTTGTACAGGCATTACGTTGGTCAGTTTGTAACCGCCACCTAAATTTATTATAAAAAATATACCATTGCTTATATTTTAGAAGCATTCTAAAATAAAGAGCCCAGTACTAGCAGAAAATGTAAGGATAGGAAACCCAGAGATAAGGTAGAATTAGTTGCGACAAAGATTATCCTGAATGTACCCTTTCTTTCTCTTTTGGTCAATGTGTTGACAGCATGATTTACAGAGAGGTTCCAGATAGGAAAAGTTGAAACACTTTAAAGTAAACTCTTTCTGATCCCACAGATGAGAGAGGGGGTCAATCACATCATTTTGCCTGCAATGGGAAAAAGTTTGTATTTGAAAATTGACCATGTGACAAGAAAGAAATAAGAAACGAATAGTGAAACAAAAAAGTTAGTCTTGTCTAGGCCTTTGGGCGAGACGGACAAGTTTGCTATGAACACAAAAGTTTTGGTTGGTTATGCAGAAAAAGAAGAGTCCCTCTTCAAACCGAATGGACAACTGATTGCCAGTGCAATGAACACAAAAGAAATGTTTGGATTCTGGGAAATAAACTATGATGTACGTGGAATGCTGCTATATCAGGATGAAAGAGAGATAGAAGACAGCTTCAACTTATCTGTCACCCAAATCCTGAGACCAGGCGCTTATAGAAAAAGAAAAGAAGAAAGCAAGAAAAGATCTCAAAAGGAGAGATATTTATGGAAAAAGGAAAGAAAGGAAGAAAAGATCTTATATTTTTAATTTCATGCATATGTGTTGTCTGCTGTTGATTTTGTTGAGCCTACTATACTGCGCAGTATAGTAGGCTCAATTGGCCACCATCTGTGAGAAAAAGAGTACCATGATGCAATTCACTCTGCCAGAAATTTAGAAACGGCATGCTATACTGCTTGACATTCACATTGGAAGCACCGATACAAAGATTTCAGAGTATTTGGATGTCAATCTGAGGACAATACAGAGGATTCAGAAAGAGTTGAATGGCTCTAATGGTGATTACAAAGGTTAATTGGAGTGATCACTAGTCATGACAATATTATGCCTCCATTCATCTTCCCACTGGGCCTCAACATCAAGTACTTTGAGGAGGTAATACTGCTGTGGGTCAAGAGGGTGGCTGCTGGAAAACTCTGTGTCTGGCAACAGGACTCTGCACCATGCCACATAAGCAGGAGAACCCAATCATGCTCTCAGACAATTTCTGTGACCATATCATCTCACCATTTGGCCACCTAACACCCAGACTGCAACCCCCTTGATTATTATGTTCATGGTGCAGTTGAGTGAGAGACCAACAAAATTCCTTGTAACATTGAAGATGAACTGAAGGCAAGGATTATGGCAACATTTACCAACTTAAACAAGGAGACTGTCCAGAAGAGTTGTAGGAAATTCCAGAGTCATCTGGAGAACATGGTTGAATCCAATGGCGATTTTATTGAATAAATTTACTCTTTAGTATTTCAAGATTGTGTAATTTTGTCAAATATATCTGTTAAAATGAGATGTCAGTGCTTTTTTATTTTTACATGATTTAGACAATTTATCCATCACACACACACACGTGTGTGTGTGTATATATATATATATATATATATATAAAAAAGCAGATTTTTCCAATTTCTGACTAAGTTCTTTTCTGTCATAATTACAATTGGTAAACTTGACAAAGTTCATTTTTAAAGCTTTTTCTTTAAGGAAAGAAATGATTTTTAGAAAGTTTACCAATTTGAAAATCTTTTAGAAAGTTTAACAGTTCTAGAGAAGATATATCCTAGGTAGAATTGCATAAAAGCAGTTACTGTTAGGAGTTTGAAATGAGCTACACTTTATTAACCAATGTAATAAAATCAGCCTAAAAATATGCTGAAAAGATGATGAAAGAGTTTATTTCAGATATAATAATTCTCCTAAGAATATATTTCAGATATAATAATTCTCTTAAATTTTCTTGATGAATGAAATAATGCATAACAACAAACTTAGCAAAAAAGACTTGATAAACCTCCTAAAATTCCCCTGAAATATTGCACTATTGTCCTAGATCCAGTGGAAATGGTAATCAAGAACATAAAGATTGTGGATGTGTGTATATGTGTATAGTGTTGTTATATTAAGTATATGGTAGCAAGAGAAAGGAATAACAAGAATTAGAGTGAAACAAAGTTTATTGTTGGTAGATAGTACAGGAATATGGTCAGGTGTATGCATAATGTTGGGAATTGAATCATTTCTTATGCCATCATGGTCGGGGTCACAAGATATATATATGTATGTATATTTATGTATGTATCTATTTCTATGGATGCATGTGTGTACACATACATATGTATATATTTATATATGTTGTTTGTACTCGTGTATATATAAGTATATACGGTGTATTTGTATATATTTGTGTTAATGTGCTTTTTTTATATATTAGCTGGTTTTATTTTAAGTGTTAAATTTTGCCTGGACATTTGAATTTGGTGTTTTTTTCTTTGTTTTTTTTTTACATGTGTGTATGTGTATGTATGTATGTATTTTTTCTGTTTATTTCTATATATTTAATTGTTCATTGCCGAATATTTGTTTTCCTAGTCTACCCCTCTTAAATTTTATCTACTGAACCTTCTTTTTATCGAAATATCTTTGCCCATGTAAGTAATATTTTAATAGTCTGTTTGCATTCATTTACTAATATTTTCAAACTTAAATCTTTGTTGGTATGTATATGCCTGTGTCTTTATTAATGTATGTGTGTATGATTGCTTATATATGCCTTTCATTGTAGGTATATTTTGTCTGATTTTATATTTTTTTGTGGGGGGTTGTGAACATCTATTTCTTGTTTCATTTGTGCTTATATATCTACATGTTTGTATATTATAATCTGATTGTGTATGTATTGTCATTTGCAATATTTTGTCCTCCCCTGCCTATATCATCACTTCAAATGTATTTAAGTTGTGACAATGTTTTACCTCCCCCATTAGATTAACGTTTATTTGAACTGAGATTTTGACTTTTCAACTAAAACAAAATAAATAATAAAATATATGTATTTTTCCTCGGTTTCTTCTTTAAATGATTTTATAATATCTTAAACTTAATACAGATTAAATTTAAAATTGGTAATTTTTATTTTTCAAATTTATAGTAAAATTTAATATTAACTAATTAGAATGATTTCTATTTTAGTCTAACTCTAACATTAAGGCATTAATAATTATAAGCAAGGTTCATTGTCAAGTTTTTTTGAATTCTTATATACTTGTATTTTGATTGGTCATTCCAGCTTATGTAACAGCATTTCCCCTAGCGAGGGGTGTTTGATTGATTTGAATCTTTTAAAACTCTTTATTCTACATTCAACACCATCACTTGATAAGATACCAGAAGTGTTGAAACAAAATGGCTATTTTTGTAGTGATTTTATAACATATTTATATTATATTTTTCGAATAAATTATATTTGCTCTACTCTGTATTGAGCACTCTTTTAAGAATAATATTTTTGGTTATTGGAATTTATTCCATATGCACCAATCCTACACTTGTATATACATATATATATATATATATATATATATATATATATATATATATATATATATATATATGTACGTAGGTGAGTGGTTTAAAATTTGCTTTCTGATTTTGAGATCCAGGTTCAAATTTAACTATAATTGATTTGTCAGGAAGGTAGTGACTTCTTTGACTTTATCAGTCTGGGAGGTGATCCCAGTGTGCGGTACCATTGGAGAGGACCTGTAAACTATACCACCACCACCAGGTTGACCCAAGTTCTGTGTGCAAAATTGGGATAGATGATACTGTTCAGAAGCTGTTGATGCTTGTGCTAGCACAAAATCATCATGACAGAGAGTTTGAGTGTACTGACCTTGTTTAAATTTCTCATCATGCCAGTTTATATGCTCTCTCTCTCAGAATCAATAACTAATGGCCGCCTTGCATAGTTGCATAATAAACCACAGATGGGCTCTGTGGGTATTGAAAAAACACAAAATGTGCCTAAGCAGGTGATAGGGACTGGTTGGCTGTCGTAGCAGAAAACTAGAGGATCAATATATATATATATATATATATATATATATATATATATATATATATATAATAATTATTTCAAACTAGATCTATCTCTTAATCTGTTCAAGGATTTATTTTTTGTATGATTTTTTTAAAAATAAATCTACTTTCAATCATTTTTTTTCTTGTGCAGGAAAACCGTAAAAATGAAATCTTTGTGGATGTCATTGAAAAGATGGTTGCTGTTGTTAATGCTGATGTAAGTGAATATTGATTTTATATGTGTGTAGGGACTTTAAAAAGACAAGATTTAAATCATATGAATTTACGAATTGTGATTTTTAATTATATGAAAGACAAAGTGTATAAATATTTCTAATTTGTTAGTTTCTCTTTAAACACAAACATACTTAAATAGGTGTATCTAACCACCTGACTTCAGAATAAGTTTCATTTGTATTATGTTTTTTTAATCATTTCACCCCAAGGAAGATGATAAAGCCACTAAGACACAAAGGGATACTGAGTATGAAAGAATTTTAGAAAAAATATTATTAAGGAGAGAGGTCAATAAAAGAACAGGAATTAAGGGACAGAATATGACAATTGATACTGAATTTAAATTTTTGAAGATCAAATTTGACTGGAAATTAAGAAGCCAGAAGAGAGTTCCACAAATTCCAAACTATTAGCATAGAACTTATGGTTCAATATAGCAATTTCAACTGTAAAAGGATGAGACCTAGCTGCCAATCTAGTACTGCACTTAAATTCATAAAGTCAAGGTACCAAAGAGGAAAGCTCACCAGAAAAAATACCATGAAAATATTTATAGAAAAGGCACAAGGAGGCTACGTTATGGCAGTGGAAAAGTAACTGAAGCCAAGATGCTAGGTCAGGACCAGTAACATTGTACATTCTTCTTTGTATTTTATGAAGAATCTCTGCATAGCAGAAGCACCAGACCAGGTGTGGCAGCAATATTTAATGCATAGATGAATAGTAGACTTATAAAGGTGTAAGATAGATTCTGTCAAGAAAAATTGTTTAGAATGACACAGTGAACCAACTTTCCTAGCAGCAGACCTAGCAATTGATTTAATATAATCATTCCACTTCATGCCAGTGGAAAGCATTAGACCAAGAAAGCACATCGAGTCACTCTCCAGGAGATTATTATGAACCATCTTAAGCAAGATGTTACACATAACAGGTCCGACAGCAAATTTATTAACAGGTTGATGAGAATCAAAAATTTTTCTTATTCAAAATTCTTCTATCTTATCTTTATTTCAGTTGCAATTTGCAATTATAACGTGTGGGATTTTTTTATGCATAATTTCAACAAATTTAATAATTGGTTATATTTGTATATTTTTCGGATTTTGAATATTTTGTGCTCTTGACTGAATCAAATCTTCTCTTTGTGAATTTAATGTTTTTCTTCTTTTTATTCATCCAGGGTCTTGTATCCCGTATGAATGTCACAGGAAACATCAATGTCAAGAGTTTTCTTAGTGGCAATCCTGTAATCAAATTAGCCCTCAATGAAGACCTTACTCTCAGAGAACAGAGCCATCCAAAAGGTGATATAAAACAAAGTTAATTGCTTTTTTTTTTACAAGTCCATTGTTTAACTATTTAACCTACATTTGTTCATCCACTTATTTTCTAAATGTAAATTCTGTTCTTACAAGGGAGGGCTGGAAAGTTCTCAACTCTCACTACTACTCTAAATCATTTTTATTGGAAGATGATGATGGTGGTGGTGGTGGTGGTAGAGGAGGGTCTCGGTTGGGCTGAAAATTTTTCAGCACCTACTCATAATTTTTATATTATATCTATAACTATTTTATATAATCATAAATTACTTATTAATAATAAAAAAAATCTATAGTAGCTTAAATATGCACTTTTATATATCATATGTCAGTAATTATCCAAAATGATTGTGAATGTTATTTAATAAGGTAAATATTGAATTGTCAACTTATATAGAGTTATAATTATGAATAGTAAATTTGAATAGTAAATGCTTAACACTTTAATTCTTGAGGATATACTTATGTCTTTATGAAACCTTCTGATGAGTGGGCTGAATGATTACAAAAAGGTTTGTCTACAAAACTCTGGAGTTTGTATATATGTGTGTGTCTCTCTCTCTCTCTCTATATATATATATATATATATATATATTTAATGAACAACAGACACTTCAAGGTACCATGACAATAATTTATTTCACCAAAATCCTTTTTAAGGGATTTTGGATCATCAGGTAACACTTCCAAATGGAAAAATGGGCTTTCCTGTTGGTTTCGACGTATGAGGATCTGACAGCTTATTGATTCAGTTATGAAAGTTTGTGCAATAATCTTAAGTTGCATTTAAGACCAGCTAGTGATTTACAAAGAAGGCCACATATGGAGCAAGTGAAATATATATCTGTATATATATATATATACATACAGTTGTATGGATATGCGTTTGTAACCCTGGGTTTCACGCTTTTGCAATCAGCAGACATACCAGTTTGATGATTGAAGAAGCAGTAGCATCCAAAATTAAGGAACAAAAATTAAAATTTTGATATCTCAAATAATATAAGTTCAATTTTTCTGAAATTTTCACTAAATGTAGACAAATGGCAGTTCAGTTGTGCTTTAAATCTAAGTTATTTGGAATGCTACAGAGAAAGCTATGATTCATTTAATTCTTTACTCAAATATCAGGGGTCCAAAATTAAAGAACAAATTGGGAAATATGCGAGAATAATGCATGCAATCCAAATTTCTGATAAGTGAGGTTAAGATAAAGATTTTTTATCATGACGGTGTCATTTTCCAGCATGGCGAACTGACGAAAAGTTGACAAGTCTCTAAGAGCTGATGTCAAACTGCGAAAAAAAATTCTCACAATTGACCAGATTGCTGAACAGGTAAAGTGTCTAAAAAACATTGTGAGTCAAATTCTAAAACTGTACAAAAACACTGGTCACTTGACCAGTCCAAATAAGGTGGGTAGAACAAGGAAAACTATGGCCAGTGAAAACAGAATCATTCAATGCCTAGCATTGAAGGATCGTTTTCAAACTGCAGCAGGAATTTCACAAGAAATTTCAAATGACATTATTATGTCTCGACAAACTGTAGATGCTTGCAAGAAATAGTTCTTTATGCAAGGTGGTCACAGAAGAAGCCGCACATAAGCAAAAAAAAAACAAAGCAGTAAAACTGGAATTTGCACATGTTATGGTCAGAAGAACAGTGGCCCAGCATATTCTTCAGTGATGAAAGTAAATTAATGCATTTGATTCTGATCGAAAACAGTATGTAAGAAGATGAATTGGCAAAAGGTTGAGTTCAAAGTGCAGCAAGAAGATAGTCAAGTTTGGCAGAGGTAGTATGATGGTTTTCGGCATGTTTTCAAGTCTGGGTATGTCATCTCTTGTATGCTTACATAATAGAGTTAATGCTGTTATATACAAGAATTTGTTAGAAGAACATATACTAGTTTTACAAAATTCTCGGTTTGATGAAGTAACAGATAATCTTCAAATAAATGTAAGTGTAACATTCACCGCTGTCAGCCTGGAGTTAATCTTGGTTCACGGCAACAAATGCAACTTCAACTTGATCCTGGTTTGATCAATGGAGTGATCTCTTCAATCCTGCCCTGCCTTACTCCACATTATGATTATTTTGATTCGTTGCAGTTATCTTTGTGTTGGGCTGGTACGAGTCAAGCAACGCCGCACAATAAAATTGGAAAAAACAGCACTCGAAATATATATAAAAAATAATTACTATCTTTATATCAATTTTGCGTACAAGGGTTCGTTAGTAGTTGTGTTTGCATACAGGTGTTTGTTGACCCAACTGATTCCTAAATCGGATGTAACACTTGGGTAAGTTTTTGGCTTGCAGAGTTATCAAAATTTGTTTTACTGTTTAGGTAAGTTTGGCTCAGGGCTGAAGTTGGAGGTTCTTATGTTTGGCAGGAAGTGTGGAATCTCTCAGCAACCTCCATCACTTCTCTTCTCAGCTCTACTGGCTGTCTCTCTGAACTCAACTGAAGCTCAACTTTCTCAACTGTCAGAATGGCTTACGCGCATTCATTTTTATGGACTCCAGCTAGAAACTTGTGCAGGGCAAGAAGTTAGCTGAGTTTCAGCAAATTCCCAGATTTCCAACAAAAGTTTATTAATTTTGGTCTTTGAGAAATTAAATTAGTTTCATAATTTTGGGGATTTCTCCCTCTCTGGTGGGGGTTGCAGACATCACTCTGCAGACTGCCTTCACCTTCTCTTAGTATCATCTCTCACTATTACTCCCCAGTGAGTGTGAGTAGCTCCTTTAACCTCCTTAATGCCTCCTCTGTGCCTGCTACCCTTCAATAGGTGCAAACTTCCTGTCTTCCTTCCTTGATCGTTTTTCTGCACCTGTCACCTCCAACATTTGGTTGGAGATTGATAAAAAAAAATATGTTTTTAAATGTACTTTTCTCATAAGTTAATTGACACCACATTTGACTCTCTCACCTCTGACCCAAGAGACACTTTCACAGGAAAATTTTTAGTACTCAGCTGCAGGTGTTCAATTCATTTTTTTTTCATTCTGATATCTCACAAAATGGATTCACTTAGCTTTAACTCAATTCTTCTCTTGTCAGATTCAGGCATTAGTTGTCACTGGCTGTCAACAGCTGATTTGTTCGCACAAATTGAGAATCGCTTTCAAGCAGTCATTTGGTCCATTGTAAATATTTCAATTCTCTGGGAACAATTCTTACTATCAGCCTATTTTCTCAGTATTGGTTAACACTTTTTATGCTAAGTTATTCATTATTATCTTGTTTTCAAATCGACATTTTGATTATTAATTACCAGCAACCCAAATAGTGTCACACAAGTAAACATTCTGGATGCTAAAGTGTGTAAAGTTTAGTGAGACATGCAGGATGTTTTGAAAAGTTTTGTTTGGTTAGATATTTCATTAAAGTATATCTCATGTGTATTTTATATATATATATATATATTGACTTTTATGAATTTGGAAGAGATAACTTAAATTCATTTTACTAACTTTTTCTAGCGTTGAGAATGTTTGCTACACATATTTGAATATTATCTGTTACTTCATTACATGTGACATGTATCTAACCAATAAGAAATAGCCACACACAACATACCATTAATCTGCATCTCGTTGCTTTTTATCATTTTTTCATTTCTAACTTGATCTCTGATGAAGCTTTAATAAAGTGAATCATGTTAGATTAAGATCTGTTTCCTACTTGTTCTTTATCCTATCATTTTGTTGGATTCCTATCCATACTCAATCAATATATATATATATATATATATATATAATTATTACTGTAAAGACAAGCACTACACTAGATTGATTATTGTTGACTTGTTTGGTTGAGTGATGCCCATTTGCTATTGAATCAAGACTTTCTTTTATTCACTTGTGATTTTCTGTGGTACTTACAGATTTTGGTAGCCATGTTACTATGGAGCAATGCAGTTTCCATCAATGTGTACGCAAAGAAGACTTTAATGATTCACGATGTTTGGTTGTTCATCCTCCTATTGGAGAGGTAATTCATTTCTTTTCTTATTTACCTTCATATTAGTAGTATTACTCACAGCAAACATGAAATAGTCAATTCATCAAAGATGTTATTAATTTTTGACTTATTCTTCTATGTGCCATCTCCCTTCAGGACATTGGCAATCATGGCTCTCCACAATTTACTGTCCTTTGTTGTCTTTTGGTTATCTTTCCTGAACCTTGCTCTGCCATCCATTTACTCAAATTCACTAGGTAGGTTATGCATTGTTTTCCTCTGTCACTCTTGCCTTCAATCTGTCCTGTGAGTATCAAATTTCCAAGCTCTCTTTCTTCATTATGTGGCCTAGAAATTTCAACTGTCTTTTCCTGATGTTAAGCATAAATGTCCTTTTTGTTTCTATTTTCTCTAAAACTTCATCATTGCTCACATGTTCCGTCCATGGCATTCTCAGCATCCTTCTGTAGAATCACATTTCTGTTGCTTCAAATAGTTTCTTCATCTGTGAGGAGATTGTCCAGCATTCACTGCCACATAGGAGGACTGGTATAGCATTCATTGCCATATAGCAGGACTGATATAGCATTCACTGCTATATAAGAGGACTGATATTATATAACAATTCAGTACACTTTCCTTTGTTTCAAACAAAATTTTTCTGTTTCTTAATACTTTGCTTAGATTTTGGAAGGAAATGTTCGCTATCTCAATGTCTTAAGATTTCATTTTCTTTAAGAGTCATATGTCAAAAGAGATTGGGAACAGCTCTTCCTTCAGAAGACAAAATGAATGTGAATATCTCTGATTTGCTAATTTCTCTTTACACACAAATGCACTTAAATGGGTTTATAATCATATAACCACTAAACTTCAGAATAAGTTTTCTTTGTATTGCTTGAAATTTTTCCTTTTGATCCTGATTAAAATAAAGGTTATACTTCTCCAATCTGACAGATCACATAGTCTGAAATTTTTTCAATCAACTGCTATTAGTTTATATATTGGCTGATAGTTATTTGTTTCTGTTTTAAACCAAGGTTTGAATTATAATTTAGCAGTTTGCAAACCAAATCCTTAAATGTGTAAAAATCTAACAGCAGTTTGAACATATCTTACTTGTATAGGTTTCAGTACTGTAGAATAATTGGCCATGGTTAAGTGTAATTAGCAAAGAAAGTGTTTGGATTGGGATTGCCTGGGTCCAAGGGAGGCATGCTTTTGTCAGGTGTTGCTGAAATAGATTGATCTGGTTTGTATATATAGTAGTGACTTTTTTCTATCAACTTTTTTTTGTAGAAATAAGGTTTGTAAGAACTCTGAATTTGATAACTTTGGATGTTTAGCAATCCTGAAAGAATTAGAAATCCTACAAGATTTCATTATTAGTGACCACAATGTGAACAACATTAGATAACACAGTGTTGATAACAAACACAGAAAGGAAACTATAGGAACTCCTAGAGAAGGTAGTGAATAAAAGTGAGAAGAAAGACTAAACATCAGTTGTAAAAAACATAATGTATCATTGTCAACAAAAGAAAGCCCAACATGCGAATTACAAATTAGAGATACCGAAATTAAATTAGTGCAACAATTTAAATATCTAGTAAGTGTTTTAACAGAGGACAGAAAATGCGACACTGAAATCTGAAGGCAGTATTTGGATAGTGAAAGATGTCTTCCAAAATCTAAGCAAAATATTAAGAAACAAGAAAATTTCATTAGAAACAAAGAAAAGAGTACTGAACTATTATTTAATATTAGTCCTCCTATATGGCAGGCTTATGGCAACATCTTGTTGAAACACTGGTTCTTGTATGATCCCTGAAGTTAAGCAACATTGAGCCTGGTCAGTACCTAGATGAGTAACCACTTGGGAATACGAGGTGCTGTAAGCTTGGCTGTGTGGGTGGAGTAATGGATAAAGACTTGGAATTCTTAATCAGGGAGCCAAGTTCCTATTGCAGTTGGATTCATTATATTCACTTAGGCAGAAATATCCTTGGGAGAGGCATGACTCCACCTCTTCTCCTCTAGCTATGGATTAATTAGTAAATAACTTGTATCACTAAACCATTATTATCTAAAAAAAAGTGCATACAAAATATTTAGATTTAGGCATTAGATAATCCATAGAGGTTGATATGTTGCTAAACAAAAACAGGAACCATTCATTATCTGTCTATATCTCTGAGATGAGGTATTATGATTATTTACATTATTCAGACTGTTATCCTCATCTTCATTGCCATATTTACATTTTAACCATTGTACATATTGGCCTACTTCAGGTGATTGGAATTTTGAACTGAACCCTTTAAGGAATCAGCACATATCCTAGGCCACAAAAATCTCCTTAACCTGCCAATCACAGAAATGAATACAATATAGGAACCAGAAATAAGGAGTGCTAGAGAAAAGCAATGAATAACAACAAAAAAAAATTGCAATATAGGCTCTGATAAAAAAAATTAAATAATAACAGAAAAATTGTAATATGAGCACTGGTAAAAAAACATGTGGTTGCTGAGACATTAGGTTTATAAGTCCCCAAAATCCATAGACTGATGTCCTCAAGGACACAGAGGCATTGGTTAGATCCAGTCACTAGATCCAAAAACTTGTAAATTCAATACCTGGCTACAACAGTGGTGAACCAAAAAAAACTTGGAGAGTTGAGTTAAAGGGAAATAACTGAGACATCTGGAAGAGGCATGACATGTAGAACTAGAACAATCTACCCTGGTGGGCGAAATAAAGGGTTTGGTTCAAAATTACAATCACCTGAACAAGTCCAGAGTGTACAACGGTTGAAACATTGTGAATATGGCAATGAAGATAAGTCCGAATAATGTAAATAATATAAGTAACAACCATACTATATGGCAGCAAATGCTAGATAATCTCCTCCCAGATGAAGAAGAGACGAGGCAACAGAAATGTGGTTTTACTGAAGGATTCCATAAACTGAACATGCAAGCAATAATAAAGTTTTAAAGAACTGGATACAAAAAGGATACTTAGCATCAGAACAAGAAAGTTAAAATTTCTAGGATACATCACAAAGAAAGAAGGCTTAGAAAATTTGACACTCAGGAGACATTGAAGACAAGAAGGACAGAAGTGACGTTATACATTATTTACATTGTTTGGACTGTTGTCCTCACCTTTACTGTTACAATGTAAATAGTGTAAATAGTTACAATACCTCATCTCAGAAATATAGACAGATGCATTAGTGACTTTGTTTTTCTGTCACCCTTTTCTGAATAAGTTTTGTCCTCTTCTGTATTTATACAGCTGATGAAGACTGAAGAACAGGTTGGCTGATATGTTGTGCTTTTAGCATCAACAGCATAAACAAGGTGTTGTCCAAACAATATTTGAAATGTACTTCCAGTGTTTTGCAAAGAGTGAATAAAGTTTGTTTCTGTGATTTGCAAAAAGTACTGTCAAAAGTCTAATCATTAAGTCTTCTTAACCCGGGGTTTATGGACCACTAGGGGGTCCATGAATAGATTTCAGGGGGTCCATGAGGATCAGATGAAAACTAACATTTATATTCATTATACAGCTCTTGTCCCAATCAATAGTTTCCCATTGAAATAAATAAAAGAAAACGCATCTTGCCACTGCTTGAAAGAAAACGCACTCAGACACTATTTACAGTGCTGACCATTTAAACATGTCATCATTCCCTGCACAACTGCCATCTTTTGCCACTCCATAAGAGCAAGTGATAATTCTCATTTACCATTGTTTATCACAGCTTGATTATACTGGTTAGGGTTAATTGACCACAATTTCTTTCAAGCATGACTGGCTGAAAAGCGATGTGTGTTCAGTGTGCATGAGGGTGCAATATGGAGAAATGTAATTACAAGTTGTGAAAAACCAATCATACTGTGAGTACCTGCTTGTCTGTCTATCTGACTATAAAGTGCTGGTTCTTATAGGGGTCCATGACTTAAAAACGTTCAAGGAACCACTTGTATAGAAGAAAAACAAACTTTGTTACAATAATGAATGTTTTTTTAATAATTAGTTAAATTAATAAATGCCAATTTCTTATTCTACCAGGATCACCTACAATTATCTTTTACTATTGCTTCTATGAACCATAATTATCATTGAGATTTGGATGTGTGGGTGGTGCAACGGTTAGCAGCTTGGCACAAGAAATCAGAGAGTCAAGTTCAAATTCCACTCAAGATTGTTACATTTACTTTTGTGCAAGTACTCTTGGGAAAGGTGTGAATCCATTACCCCCCCCTGGCTATATGTTGACTAGTAAGGTAGACGGGGCTCTTTAGCCTTGGTTGGCAACCATTCTAAGAGAAGAATAATTCTGAAAACCTATGCAGCTAATGAAAGGATCATGGATTTTACAATGACTATTATCCTGACTGCAGTTGTTTAATCACACAATCAATCAGAGAGATAGCATCAGTTATCAATGTTTTCCTATTTGCAGTTTTCGGCTATGACCTACAGACTTGCTTCTGACCCACCTCTGAAGCCACCTTTCCGGTTACAGGTGTATGAAAGGGAACAGGAGTCAAGGTATGTAATTCTTATTTTTCTAACAGTTTACCCATCACAATGAATATATAGAAAAATCTCATTAAATATGTTATCTGACTGACTTAAGAAAAGCCATTACTTCTTGAAACATTCTGTAAGCATATTTGATGGACAAGGATATAAATTTTAATTTCAGTGCATTTAAGAAATATGTAGTCAAGATTGATCAATGTGAAAAATTTTAAAATTCTTATTTTAAAATTGGGAAGTACAGTCAAGTTGAAAATTTAACAAAAAATCAAAAAGGAATTTTATTTATTATCCATTGTTGCGCACATTGTAACCCTACCAGAGCCAATATAGAATATATCCATGACTCACATAGTCTCACATAAACTCATACATACCTACCTCCTCCTATCTCTAGAAACTTAAATGTTCACATAGTCCTATATTTTTTGGGGTTATTTTTACAGCGAGGTTCACCCTTTACAAGGCTTGGGGGACACTTAAGATAGGGGATTAAGTTTGGAGGTCATTTGTGTCTACAGGAGTGGAAGATAATGGTTACCCCTGTAGTGATCAGGGAAACATCCTATTGGGAGTCGGTTCCACAGGGCAGTTGTTTGTGAAAGAAGCTGCTTGAGTGGAACTTACTTCTCACATTGGATAATGAATAAAACTAATTCAATGATTCTGATTTAAGTTCTTATATATATATATATATATATATATATATATATATATATATATATATATATAATTATTTATTTAAAAATATGATTCCAAATCGCTACATAAGAGGTCTCATGTTTCAAAACAAGAGCCACAAAAACTTCAATATAATCCTTTAAATTAAATTGAGTTGAAATTAAAAAAGGGCTCCGTTCCATCTTCAAGCGAAATTTTTTGTTGGAATAACGTATATCTGAAATTTACTTGTTTTAAAATTGAAATCAAAATCACCATGGTAACAGCTAGGGCGAATTGTCTAAAATGGGTAGGCGAGTGTAGGGTGTTAATGATAAGTAGCGGTATAGAGATACTTTCAAGGTGTCAAGTCGGGGAAGGTGAGGGTGTCAAAAATGAAACGAAGATGTATTAAGCTTTCGTCAAGTTGGCTTGTCTATGGAGATTTATTTATTTATTTTGTTTTATTTTATTATGAAAGGAATTGTGCATATAAAAAAAAAACTTTCGTAACGTTTGTTTTTTGACGACTTCATAAAGGGTTATCTTTTATGTAAGGTATTTAAACTACTAATTTGGGATATGGATTATGAAGGGTGTTATGTTGTATGCAAGTTTGTAGTTAATAATTTCTACTATGAATCTGATGATTGGGTTATTTGTTAAACAAGTTATATAAATTTTTTATTTCAAACCAAAAATCTGATGATGCCTACAAAAACCGTTATCTCGTGTCTTTTTTTCATATATATATATATATATATATATATATATATATATATATATATATAATAAAAGGTTTAAACACTACTTTGTCCTGGACATTGAGTTCTACCTGGATTCTATCCTCTTGGAATTTTTATTAAAAAAAAAAATATATGTATGCACCTATGTATATATATTTATATATTTTGCATATGTATGTGTATATTTACCACTAATATTAGCTGTGTGTGTGTATATATATATATATATATATATATATATATATATATATATATGCTTTAAAACTGCTGCTTGGTTTCTGATAGGTTGATGATCAGTGATCTTATATCTTGGTTGTTTCTGATTCGCTTGTTTGACTATCATGTTTATATCCTGGCTGGTACAATTTCTGATTAGTTGTCAAAATATGACTTCATAGCCTAGTGATTCTGAGTATACATTTGTTTTTAGAGATGGTGAAATTTTCGTTTCCTTGTTATTTTGTTTATTTTTATTTATTCATTTTTCTTTCGCTCCAGGATGTTTTTTTGGTCTGTATCTTTTGGATTTATTACTTACTAAAATTATATGTTTCACTTTGAACCTAACACCTCCTGAAACAAGTTATACTTTTCTGAAACTTTATTTGAGGAATATTAGCTGATTTAAAGTTTAATTAACCTGATTTGAAAAATATTACTTACTTAGTTTAAAATATTGCAGGTAAGTGTTTATTGTTGTTGACACCTTGACTAAAAGGTGCAAGTTTATCTAATTTTTTTCTATGGTGGATGTATCTTTACAAATTACTTGAGGAATATAATGTGAACATTTTTTTTATATAATTTGTAACTATCCAGTAATTAAAAGTTTTTCCAATAAAATAATGTCTCAATTTTATTGCATTTTTATTTTATAATTTAGTGCAGATATTTAGTAACTGGGGTTCCTGTTTTACAAAAAAATATTGATGATTTAAATTCTCCAAGGAGTTCTGTGTATAAATAATAGAAACATTAAGTGGTGTGAAAATTAATTTCTCAAAATTTCCTAAATTTACATAACAGTGGGGTGGTAACAGAAGTAAATAAAAAAAGTTTTTACTAAGATTTTCTAAAACAGAAACATTTCTAAAATAATTAATTTGTGAATAAGTCCTGAATGTTCATTTAAATCCAACAATTATTTGATTTTTGCAAGAATTTCCAAATCAGTGTGTTTTTCACCACAAAAAAGATGCTAAAGTTTTAATCTTTGGTACTCCCCCACCTTCTGCTGACACAAGAAAAACAAAAGTTTTAATCAAAATTTTGAACATTCTAAAAAGGATCAAAAAAATCCTTTGATCTTTCCTTTTAAATAATAACAAAGATTTTGATGATAAAACTTTGTTTTTATTAAGTTTGGGGCATTTTTTCATCATGGTATGCTCATTTTTTAGTGAATCTGTGGTGGTTCCTAAATTTAATTTTACCAACAAGAATAAATCCTTTTTTTTTTTTTTTTTTTTTTAATTCAATATGCTAACATCTGATTGATTTTCTTCCTGCAGTTCAACTGATACCAGCCTCTCACTACAGCTGCATAGCCATATTCCTGAGAACACTGAAGCAGTCAATGTAATTCTAAGAATACCTGTTCCTGGAACAGTCACTGGGTAAACATTAGATTGAGCTGAAGAAGAATTTGATGTCTTATTTTGTTTCCACCTTCAAATCTCTTTACACTGACAGTATTTTTTTTTCTTGTTTTTTAATTTTTTTTTGTTCTTCAGAATCAGCCAGCAGCTAAATGGACCTGACCAGATTGTAGAATTTAAAACTTCTAACAAACAGATTGTGTGGAAAATCAAGAAGTTTCCAGGTTCCTCTTTTTTGACTGCAAATATTCGAGTGAGTTCATCATCACTTGTCAAATTCTATTTGTATCATTTTGTGTACATCTTGTTTCAGTTTCGGTCCTTGTTCTTACATTTACCATTGCTAATCAGGCTCATTTCTATCAAAAATGATTATTTAAATGCCGATCACCATAATCAGGTGTGTATTTTTAACTCCTGAATCAATTATGTGGAGTCATGTGCAGATACTATTGGAAACGGTATGAATTCATCTCCACCCACCAACTATGAATCAAATAGCTTGTATCTGTTAAAATCATTGTTATTATCCAAAAATTGTTACCCTTAGATAAAGTATGAATCCACCTCTTCTCTCCCCAAGCTATGGGTTAATTAGTAAGACTTGTATCACTAAACCATTATTATCTCAAAACAATTCTTACAAATTAAAAATATTTTCTGGCTTTAAATAACCTGCAAAGGGTTGATAAACTGTAAAAAAAAAAAAAGAATCATTTATCTCTGATGGTTTTGTTTAGCCTTCAGTTTTAAATTTAAACAATTTTGCAAAAAATAAAAGCTTCATGCAGAGGTTCTAATTTATTGCCTGTGTTACCCTCATTATAAATAAAGCATCTTATCTTTCTATGATAATAATGTCATTATTGGTTTTCATTTTCTTTTGCAGTTGATCAGTCATAGTGGGATAAAGACACGTCTCAAAGATATTGATCATGTTGTTATGGAATTTGAAGCATCTGGTTATACTTGCTCTGGAGTACAAATCCGATATTTGCGGGTGTTTGACCGGGACCAGGCATATGTGCCCTATCGTTGGATTCGTTACATCACTGTTAGTGATTCCTATATATTTAAACTGTAAAAAGCAAACAAATGGCAATAAAATATTGCAAATAATAAATTTGTTTTGAATTTACTTATTTCTACAAAATGAGATTGAGGCAGTTTGATAAAGCACTGATATTCAGAGAACTTAAAACGATTACTTGGTTACTTATTTTAGTGTATTATTTTATTTACAATTATTGGCACATGACGCAAACAATAGTCAGTGCATTATTTAAACAAATTAGCTATAAATAATCAACAGTAACTTTTAATAGCCATCTGTCACTAAATTATTGCCAAGTAAGACTATTTTTATATTTTTTTAACCTTTTATCAATTGATGATAACTTTTGCTTTGTTTCATTGTAAGCAAAAATGTCAGCAAATAGGATAAAAAGAAGAACAGGGATCAAGGCATCAGAAGATGTCAATTGAAATTACATTTAAATTTTTGAAGATTATCAGAGAAGTAATAGGAAAGGAGTTCTACTGTTGGGAAGTGCGAAAGAAGCTGTTGGAGTAGAAGAGGCTGTTACATTTAACTGTTTTGACAGTAAAAGGGTGGGACCGATATGTCAACCTAGTAGCATACTTAAATTTATACAGTTGGGACACCAGTGAAAATAGCTCATCAGAGGAGATGCCATGAAAATATTTATAGAAAAGACAGAGGGAAGCCACATTACGTCTGTGAGAAAGTGACTGGAGTCGAGATTCCCAGCTAAGACCGATCACATTGCATATCCATCTTTGGATTTTGTTGAGAACCTTGAGATGAACAGCCGGAGCACCAGACCATATATGGCAACAGTATTCTATGCATGGACAAATGGTAGATTTGTAGATGTGAAGGATAGACTCAGATTAGAAAAACCTTCTGGCACAACACAGAGAACCAACTTTGATGGAAGTGTTGCAGGATGTTTTTTGTTGGACAGAAGAATTAAGGCTAGACAAGGAAAGCAGTGTCTGCTTTAATAGTTGAACTAATTTGCATAATCTTAAATAATTTGCATTTGTTTTTAAATTCATAATAAATTTGCATCATAATAAATTTTGACATTCAGTTTAATGTTCTCATCCCACTTTTATAAGGTTTGAAAAACATTTAAGTAATGCACTAATCAATTTACTGTTTTAGATCAATTATGAAATAAGTAATGATATAATCATTCTAAGTAATGCAGTTAATCAAAATAAATAATTTGTTGTGATTTAGTAACAATTATTTAAACTATACTCATTCTAAAGTGAAGCTTTTTTTCTCATGATTTGTAGTCAAAAATGAAATCTGGTTCCTTACCCAAGAAAATCATTTACAATCCATCTCTGTTACAATTTTAATTTACAATGTGTTTTTATAGCATAAATATATTTATAAAATAGAAATGCATTTCTACCAATTTTTCATTAATTCACATAGAAAATATTGTCTAACACTGGAACTTGATAAGGAAGATTTGATTGATGAAAACAGTTTAATATTACACATTGTATGACATGTGATTCTATAGGGTTTTATTTTCAGTTAAGTGATTGCATGACCTGAAACTTCACCCAGTTTCTTTGAGCTTTATTTAACCATGTTTTTTATTGTGCATTTTCTTTTAACAATATATGATGACAACAACAAAAATGAGGACAATAGTCCACATGTAAATAATTTAATTAAAATAAGTATGTTGTGGAAATAATGTTACATTATTTTTATAAGTATAGATCTGAAAAAACTAGATTTTTATGCTATTGTTGACCAAGAGCTACTCAAGGTAGAGGGTTACTGAATGAGGTTTTTTTATGGATGTCCGAATTGTAGATTATGAGGGTAATGGTGAGTCCTGGATTTGAAGAAGTTAAGATTGTAGTGGTCAGGGAAGTATCCTCTTGGGAGTCTGTTCTACAAAGCAGTTGCTCTTGGAAATAATCTGTTCATATGGCACTTCCTTCTTACAAATGGTGTATGAAGGGAATGAGGATGGTTCGCTATTGTGTACATGGCATCACAGATTTTAGTTGTGAAAGTCTTAACTTATGGAATTTGGTTTGGTTTGTTTTGTTTTATAGTATATCAACCTCGATGGGTTATTTAATGCTGATAAGGTTTTTACAATAGATTTGTATGAATAGAATATTTATTCTTTGTAAGAAATTGATTTGTAGATTTGGTTTTATTGGCCTGGTTTGGTTTATTTTCTTTTTTAATGCCATCAAGATTTTTAGGATAGGTTTTTATGAATAGAATATGTATTCTATGTAAGAAATCAGATTTTAGATCAGGTTTCCTTGACATATTTTTGTAAAGAAGGTTTTTTTGTTGAGAGTCAAATGTATTGCTAGTAATATTTTTTTCAAAAAATGTATTGCTGATATTTTTTACTATAAAAACCTACTTTTATAGTGTTTTGACCCCAGTTTGGGCGTTAACTATTTGCCCAAAGCTGGGACCCTAACACGTGCTACCACCCCAGGTTAGGTTGGACCTGGGAACAATAGCAATTAAGCAGTGGTTCCACACTCCTCAAAACCTCCTGATCAGAGGCCTTGCTGCTGGATGTAGTTTATCATCATACCCAGTACACCTCAGTGGTAGGGGTCTTACCCCTCTGCAGAGGTGCAGTTGGCATATTTTGAAGCCCCAGCCAACAGGGAGGGGTGGAACTAGGGGATGTACAGTGCTAGTGACTCAGTCAAATTTTTTTGGAAGAAACCTTGTTTTTTCTTAATATTTTAGATGAAAAATAGAGTTTTAAAAAAATTTGTGTATAAGTAAGGGAAATGATACATTCTACAATTTTACAAAAAAATTCTTAATAAACCTAAAACGTTATTTTTTGTTTTTAAGTTAAATATTTACTGTGCAAAAAAGTGACTAACTCTTTATACTGTATTAATTATGTACAAAGTTAATCTAATATTTTCTTAAAAAATAAAATTTACTAAAATAAAAACACAAAAATTTAATTAGTAATTTATGCTTCCACCTGTGTTTTTCAGAACATTGTTGACTCATTCTGGCATGCTCTTAATGAGATTTTTGCAGATGTCATCTAGCAAACTGTTCCATGTCACAATATAAAATTTTCAATCAAAACATCTTTGCTTTGAATGATTTTCTTCAAAAGTCTTAATTTTATTATGCTCTATAAATTCTCGATCAGGAGACTGCAGTGACATTTTTTGGAAAAGTAATTTTTCATCTGCTTTGATGTGTGGCAGGGATAAAAATGAGATTTGATTGATCAATTTCAAGTTTTTCAGCAGAAGGCAGCAAGCAGTTGTCCAATATTTTTGAGTATTGTGTGCTGTTCAGCATTTTGGCTACTGGTTTGTAAAATCCAGTCCCACTAAATGAGAAACAACTCCAAACCATAAAACTGACAGGATGTTTCACACTCATAGCTCTATATGTTAATAGTTGGATTCAAAGCTGAACAAATGGAGTATGAAACTGGTTTTCTAAGAGGAAATCTAGATTGAAAGCAATTGACATAAGTAGAAAGCACTTTTTTATTTTGAAAAGGCAGCTACGCCTATTACATCTGTCCAGTGTTGACACATCGGTTGATACTACTACTACAACTATTACTAACCTATATATTTATTTCAAGGAAGGGAAAGGAATTTTGTTTTTATGTGCCTCTACTTAGGGAAAAAAAATCCTGTATACAATGAATGCATTTTTTTTTTGTTAGCCTAGAGTTAAAAAAATTAGCTTAAAAAATTTCAGTTTCATAATTTGTTTGACCGTTAATGTTGCTGGAGGTGGTGGGGAATTGTGGGGGGGGGATGTTTCATCGTATATGATGTTTGTTGCATTGTTAAACTACATCTCCAAGTGATTGGAGCATTTATCAGACAAGTTGCTAAAAAATGCTTATTTGAATATAAGCACAAAAGTTTCTCTCAGACATACATATAGAGAATTTTTCAAATAACAAAGAGAAATAATCATGCCATAAACTCATGGCTAGTTTAAATGTCAAATACATTAATAGAGGGAAATGCAAAAATGTGTGATTATATATGTGATATTTTAAGGCTACTTTGAAATTGAGACATATTTAGGTTGATACAATCAAGACAAGTGCAAGGGTCTCATGCCTTCCTCCAATCTATAACACAGCCCCCAACCCTGAATCTATGATACAGGAGCCCACCACTCTACTACATCTCAATTCTCATAAGGTAGGGAGACTTCTTAGTTCCTGGGCAAACCAACTACTTAATTTCAACCCAACCATGTAGACCACACGCATACACACATTCACTACAGCTAAGTATATAAAGTTTTCTTTCTTTAATTTTAAGTTGTCTATCTCTTTACACATAAATATTATTTTACCTTGTCTTTTGTGAGCTATGCTGTTCTTTACATAAATATATATATATATAAAATCCTCCATGTGTTGAAATCATTTCTTTTGAAAATGTTGAATCCATTTATTTGAAAGTTCTCAACCTCTCTTTGTCACAATTTCAAACATCATCCACACCAAATTAAGCATTTGTATTGTACCTGCTGTAATCTTTCAGTAACCTTCCTTAACCATTAATACTTCTTGTCATTTTTACTCCTGTACATGTTGGCTTGGTGTGTTAGTTATTAATTACCACAGATTTTTAGTTAATTGATGATCATCAATTAGCAGTAAAATTGTGGTGTGCCCAAATATAAAATTAAAATATCAAAATAAAATATAAAGAAAATTAAAATGAAAATAAGACATTTGCTCTCCTTAAAAAGCCATATCACTTTTTCTCTTTACCATTCTCTCTCTATATACTTCTCTCTCAACTAATGAGAAGGAAACTCTTATATAAAAAAAAGAAGAAAAAAAGACTGAACAACTGCTGTGAAACAGAAGTTTGCTAGTCTAGTTATTGTGACTAAAAATCTACCAAAACAAGAGCTACCCCACACACATAAGTTCCACTATTTTAAAAAAAAAAAAAAAAAAAAAAAAAAAGGAAAAAGAAAGGAATGCTGGAAAATAAAAGAATTTTGACCAATCAAATGAAGAAAGAGACTTTTGA